TGTGCTGTAAAGAAATCCAGCAGATATCCATCCAAATTTGACCTGATGGAAAACAATGAAAAACTGAAATGTGGAGACATCCACATTTATCCTGGCATCGGTCTTTTTTTTGTTCTCAGTCATTCTTAAATCTCTAAATGAATATGGCTCTGGGTACTCTTGTTGCATATTAGGCTATGATAATATGACGATATATACAGCAAGACAATATAAATTTGTCTATTGTCAAAGAATTGGCTAAACAGTGTAAGAAGTGGCAACTATTAAATATCACTGATTGTCGCCTTTTGAATGCAATGTTGCAAATCAATGAACAGAAAGGTTTTTATGGCAATATCTGATTTTTTATCAGAGTTAACTACTGAGATTTATCTGTAATGAATTTACAGATTTAGCTGAAAACTTCAACAAAAACTTTCCATGTAATGCTGTTATTGATAAGCACCAATTCATGGTTCATATTGCCATAAAGATATAAATGAATATATGCTGTGATCAGGGATTTTATCTATTCCCCACTCCTATAGCAGAGTCATTGCAGGGGGCAATACATTACAGCCTGACTGGTAAATCTGCCAGACCAGTTCATTAGCTGGACTGGTATATTGGCCAATATTAGCTTATCGCAGATATACTGTATGAATCGAGCAATGGATTATCACTGGTGTATACATTAGCAAGATATTGTTTTCTGTATATATTATTGATGTGGCATATGCTTTATTTTTATTTATTTAATAGGGACAATGCAATTTAATATAGTTCCAAAAGAAGTCATGAAACTGATGTGTTGCACAGAGAGATTATAGCTACTGCTAATTTACACCTCTTGTCCCTCGCTGGGGTTTTACAGACAACACAATTGATAATATCATACAATTAGCTAAAAATATACAGATGTACAGTCTAAAAAGAGACAACAATAGCACAACAGTTAAATTAAATTACAGCCTTGGTTTGCTTTTAGCAGCACTGAAGCTTTATTGTAAAGGATCAAAGAAAGATTATTATTGACATCTGTGTCATCTTCCAAAAAATCCTGCATTGTTTGGGATATATTGACCAAGCAGATATGTTGACATTTGCATTTTTACTATAACAGAGTTGTCGCTAATTTTATTGTTTCCATTTGTGCTTTTCTTGCCACAACAATTAAAATGTCTGCTGTGAATAGAAAAAAGTATGTAGTCTTTTTAACAGAGAATTGCTACTTTGATCTGTCCTTGTCCACAGTTAGTGTTCTGATCATGACAAAAATCAATTACAATGAGCAAAAGGCAGCAACGGCATTAGGTGTGTTTGTGCGCAGGGTTTCAGGTCTCTGCACGTACACTATATGCTCTGACAACAAGATAACAAGAAAGCTGTGAAGAAATGAATAATCTAACAATGCTTGGACTTGCAGCCCATTGGGGCAGATGAGGACGGTGGCCACGAAAAAAGCCTTCTGTAGCACTATTAGTAATTGTAGGTCCCACTTTTTCTCGAGATTGCGACATATCATTAGATTTAGTGAGATACATTAGTGTGAGGGATGGCAATAGCACTAAGCTGTATCTCCCTATTGTCCTTCATTAGCCACTAATCCACTGATGATCGTTATTAGTGAGAAAGGAGTGTGTGTGTGTGTGTGTGTGTGTGTGTGTGTGTGTGTGTGTGTGTGTGTTTGTGCGTTTCTGTGCTTGAATGTGTGTGGCTGTAAGATGCATTTTGGCATAGTGCTCTGTATATTAGCCCAGTGATTTATTATCTGGGTAATGCCATCCCTTCTTCCCCAAAGCTGCATTGTCCTTTTGCCAATTAATTCTGAATCTGTTACGACCACAGGGAGGGAGGGAGACAGAGAGAAAGACAGAAAGAGAGAGAGAGAGAGAGAGAGAGAGGGAGAGAGGGAGAGAGATCATCAACAAATACATTGGTTCAACCCCAGAGTTAAGTGCCGTGCTATATTTTTTTTTGTAATATGTGGCTGGTTAATTCCGCTTTTCTATCTTCTTTTGATGTCCGCTTATGTTTTTCCTTGTAATGTTCCCTTGCTCCCTCTCTTCTCTAATGCCATTGATTTATGCAATTGCTTGCTTGTTCCTTTTTTTTCCTTCTCTTCTTAATTCTTCCATCTTCCAATTTTCGTTGTTCTGCTGTTTCTATAACAACCACAGGGTCATTTCTCAGCCTCTGCGTTTCGCTCTTAATCCTGTTCATACGACACTCAACTCTTATTTTTCTTGCTGCTTTTTCTTGCTGTGCTCTACTTACTTGATTTCACCCTATCACTCTGAAAATAAGTCTTTTTTTTCTCTCGCTCTCCTCTTTGTATGTCTCCGACATCCTTTCATCAATTACTGTACAGTCGTTCACACACAGGGGCCTTTTTTTCATCTTTTTACTTGTGTTTGTTAGTACGACTGGAGAAAGTAAAATACAGAGAAAATTCATCATCTGGACCAGCTGTTCAGGCCACATTGGATAAATGTAGTGCAATTTCAGAGATATCATTGTGTTGTACAACCATTGCATATAAGAATCAGACATTTTTTTTTCAACAGGTACCAGAACTGACACTGACTAAGAGCAATCTTCCAGCTCCAGCCCTGAAATTACTCCTCTGCTTCCCTACTGTGACCAGCAAACACTGCTGTGAAGCTTCGTCTTTATGTGTGTGTGTGTGTGTATGCACGTGTGTGTGTGGTGTGTGTGTGTGTGTGTGTGTGTGTGTGTGTGTGTGCTCGGATGAGGTCTGTGTGGAACCTTAGTATGTTTTACCAATGTCAATATGATTGCTGTTTACCATGGGGTGCAGTCAGGGCAGCACTTCAGGAGAGAAACAGAGGCAGATGACAGCTGAACTGAATCCAGAATAAGAGCAGCTGATAAGAAAAACACTGGAGGACTTTAGCATTGCCAGCACATGCTATTTCTGTTCCTTATTTATTGTTTTTGGTATTTGTTTTTTGGGGGGAATAAACTAATTTAGTTTAGAATCCCCAAAAACAGGAAATCCTCATCACCTATAGCCTGCTTCTACTTTGCTTAATCATCAACCTGAATTCTTCACTGGAATCTTATAAAGGACTGTTTCCACCTTATTGTCGTGTCTTAAACAGCAGCAGTATTCATTCATTATTAATACGTAGTGTAAAGTGCACCAGTGCTTCACTTTGTGCAGCCAATCCAGAGATTGTACAGGGCTCTAACCAATCATTATGTCCATTATCAATTAATCTGTCAATTATATTCTCTGTGAAATATTATTTTTAAAATTTAAATGAAAAACATCCTTCATAATGTCTAATGCAGTCCATGGAGATGTTTTCAGATTGCTTGATTTGTCCCACCATCTGTCCAAAACCCCAAAATATTGAGTTTACTACATTATAAGAAAGTAAATGATTTGTTTAAAAATTCATCAGCTTTAAGTTGCAGGAAGTGTTGTTTGCTGTAGCAAAAGTCCATCCATCCATCCATCCATTTATCTATCTATCCTTAACCAGCTAGTTTGTATTGGCTGCTGGAATGATGCTGTGGCCCTGTTCACACCTAACATTAACATGCGTCATGTGTGATCCAGCCACATGTGGACAGGCCTGTTCATTTCATACATACATTTTGTACTTTACATTGTGAACTATTGTACATTCCTCCATTCGTCTTGCACATTGTACATATTAGAATGCGTTTCCACAAGCGTCTCGGGTGACAACTTGTGATCGAATCTCACTTCCCCGCTCTATATGCAAATAAAAACGTACATCATTTCTGTTTGCAAAGACCAAGTGCGTTGTTGTTTTTAGCCGGTTGGACTATGACAGATGGATCTGTTGTCAATGTGGTTGTGTGTGTGAGACAGAGAGAGAGAAAGAGAGCGAGGTTTGAGGTAATTGATGCGTTGTGCACAGCTCTACAATGAAATAAGGTTTTAGCTGTAAAAAAAAAAAAAAATAGATAGTAAATATGTGGTGGTCAATGTTGATGTTGTGGCGGGCTGCCACAGATAAATCAATGCGTGGGAAACATTGTGATAAGTGTAAAAAGTTGGACTAATTAGACTGTGGCAGAGGATGTCAGTTGAGTAAGGGGTCCTTCAATGTGGCCCAGGACACATTTGCATTCACACACCTAAAAGAATAAGGCCATGTGTGGCCCAGACCAGCCCCGAATGCGGTCTTAGTGATTGGATCTCATTGTGTCTTGGGTGCATTCACACCTACCTACACACCTACCTGAGGCGCATGTTAATGGCAGGTATGAACAAGGCCTGTGTTTCCTGTTGAAGTAGAACAGGAGGCTGCAGCTAGCTGAACATCACATGGTTTTCTCTGCTGCAAGAGAACACAGAGGTGCTCTACACTGAGAGAAAGAGAGACAGAAAAAAAACACTTAACAGGTGATGAAGACTTTGACAGTTGGGAGTGAAATTAATGTAGTAAAACACAATCTCACTCACTTTTTTTGTCTAAATCTGTCACTAAGCCATGCACTGTGTCTGTGTGAGACAAAGAGTCTTGAAACTCTATAAAAGAAACCAAAAGAAAGAAACAGTACCAACAGGGACAAGACAGCATGTGGCTTAATTGTTTTGTATTTCTGTAACGTATGCTATGAACTGTCATTTGCTTTGCACTAAATGTGGCTAAGTGAACTTATTTACAAATATATTTTTCAGTATAATGTAACTTTGCATGCATGAATGCATTGTAAATGTGTAAGTCAAAAACAAAGTAAGGCTTGTTGACAAAAATGTTAGCATGCTAAAATATGTATGTATGCCTTTCTGAACTCTGTGAGCTCTGCAAGCTTTACTGGTAAGCAGAAAAATATTGCAGCGGGGTGTTCTTCAAGTTTAATCTTATTCCCAGAAACCCAAAATGTATTTCTTTCCATTTACTTAAGATTACATTTAACAACCCAGTCAAACATGGTGTCTGCATTAGATTTGATCAGACAGTTGCCACGATTAACACTGTCTTAACTTTCCTCTTCTCGTTTTCTGTCTTCCCCAGGTCCAGAGTGGTACTTGGTCAGAGTGGAGCTGACTGTGACAGATGTGAATGACAATGTCCCAGAGTGGAGCATGGTTCCTGCCCCCTACCTCGCTGTGGTTTCACCTGATGCCCCTGCGGGCTCGCTGGTCTACAAGCTCCACGCCCAGGACGGGGACGAAGGCAACAATGGTGAAGTGGAATACTTCCTGTCTGATGGTAGGTTTTTCTTCCTTTCCCCTCTGTGTCCTATAGTTTAATATTGTATTGTAAAAAAGGGTAACTTGAAGTTTGGGTAGGTGGGTGAGGGCCAGGACCTCTGTGCTGTGCATGCTGCTTCACTGGCAGTAGGAACGCTTAAATGGAGCAGAGTGATTTCTTACACCTGCACTTTTTCTGCTAAGACAAGTCAAAATGTTTAACCATATGAAAGGCACCAACACTGGGCTTTAATCTACAGCCTTCACACTTCAGCTACTATGATATGAGGGGTTTAAGTTTGAATAGTACACATTTGTTTAGATAGTACACCCTAAATGGATTTATATAGAAAACCTCTGAACATTCAATACAGGTTTTCCCATTTCAAAATGAGAATTATATCAATCGCTTGCTTGGTTTTTGCTTGGTGTGTGTGATACTGCGGTGGCCCAGACAGGTCAATGCAAAAAAACCACAAGACAAATGCAAATTTAGCCACAACACAAATACAAAAGCCACAACACAAATAACGTTCACTAGAACTGTAATTTTATATTTGATTGAGGTAATTAAAGCTTCTGTTCTGTTATTTTATCAAGGAAATGATTAACCTTACTTTGAAAACTGGTGTTTCATACATGGCAGGCTAAATGTAATGTTCCTTTGCACCAGGTTTAATTGCTTGAACTTATTTGAAATACACAAAATTTGCAAAGAACAATCTCAGTTCATTTAATTTCACTGTAACGTTTGTGTAATATCACTAATACATTTCCATACATGGGTACAGCTTTACATTGATCTGACTGACTAATGACATAATGCTAGTGTTAGTGCAAAGCTAGCTTCACAATAACCTGACTTTGGATGACAGAGTACAAAAATATGAAAATGTAAACACATAAAAAATGAGAGAGAGAGAGAAAAAGAAATAAATGAATAACATTGCTCATTTCTGACAACAAATAGTGCCATTAATCACAGTAACCTAGCAACAAAGTTTCACTTACTTCTTAAACCAGCAATACTAGTCCACCTGCATTTGTGTTGATACTTTTGCATTCACGTTGGGGCTTTTGTGTTTGTGTTGTGGCTTTTGTATAGTGTTGACTCGTTTGGGCCACCGTATGATACAGACAGAAGAGACATGTAACGTTCAATACTTTTTCTAAATGTTTCCTTTGATGTAGAATCAAGTCTTTTTCTGTTCCATCTTGAAATTTGAGCCTCTGCCGAGCCAGTTTATAGTTCATGTGTTATCTCCCAGAGTAATGTAAGTCATTTCTCTATACGCGGAATAATTGCTTTTTTACCTTTTACTTTTATTTGTCTGCCATGCAACGTTTTCTTCTTCCCATAGTGGAATCTGTTAAACTTCTGCCTATTAAGGGACAGCCTTTAAGTTGTCCCCATAGGAAGGACAGACAATGAATTGGCGACAGAAATTAGAAGAAAAAAACATAAACATTGATGTTAGTGTCTAGACTAAACTTTTCATTGGTTTGAATTGACGTTTCACCCATTAAAGGATTAATCACACCTCTCACTGTGCTGTTGTGCACCACTTTGGCTCAGAATCAGTTATTTTGTGGAAGCAGGATTGTGTGATAAAAGGCATGTGATATGGAGGTAACCTTTGTAAAAGCAGTATAGTTTAGATGAAAGTCTTACCATCGCACCCTGTTATGTTACGTCAAGGCCGTGAATTTTAACATCCACCTCCCAGTCTCTCTGCTCTTTGCATTTCACATCTCAACGACTTGTAAAACTGACTGTCCAGCCATATTTATCACTTCACTGGCGCATGCTCAACACACATTTACAGTATTTTTGACAGCTCTTGATGGCAGCAAGATTTACACCACCCCCACCTTGCCTTGCAGTCCTTTGCACCGGTTGACTCTGAGCTGTAAACGAGAGAGGCTGTTACACGTCCAGGGTTTGGTATGTGCCCTGCTAGTCTTTGCTTTTAAGCTGAAAGCACTTCTCAACGTGAAAGCACAGGAAGAAGTCTGGAAGAAAGAGATCAAGATCAGCACGGATAAACTTGGATCATTACGTAATCTTCTGCATCTCTGTCGTTCAGCTGCTCATTATTACACTCTTAATACCATTCTTACACGTATAGCTGCAGTATCTGTCACTTCTTACCTTTCCTTCTTACCTCTCTGTGTTTTCTTCAAATCACTCATTTTATCAGTAGCCTCACCAACGTGTTATCTCTTATACATAAAATATTATTTTTCCCTCAGCTTTTATCCCTTTCATGTTCTACTGTTAATCTCTGCATTGTGTTTATTTTGATATCTTATCTTTGATCTATTGCCCGTCCATATCATGTCCAATGACTCTCGTCATTTCGCTTGTGTGTGCTCTCTGGAGAACGTGCTGGAAATAGGGAAAAAGTCGGGGCGGGCCGCCCTGGCTGTTTGCTGCATGGACCCCCAATTGCAGCGCTGGTGATCGTGCTAAGACCCCCTTGCTTGCCCCTCTGGTGTGCCCCCCCCCACCCCCCACCCGCCCGCACCCCCCCCCCCCACCCCACCCCACCCCACAGAGACAAACAACCATTCCCTTAATACATGAATATGATAATTATCATTATGATTATCATTAGTATATATTATTATTTTATATTACCATTATATATTATTATTGTATTATTGATCATTGTTTTGATACTTCTTTTTATTATTATTATTATTATTATTATCAATTTTATTATTGTATATGATGTATGCATACACAGACACTACCCACAACATACCCAAATCAATCTACACCCTTAAATTTAGTTTTATATACACTATGTCATGTCAGCTGTCTGTCTATTATGTTTTTTTGGTTTCCTTGTCACAGTGTCTTCTATGTCACTTTCTGTTTATCATGTTTTTTCACCAATAATAATAATAAAAAAGAAAATAAAAGGAAAAAAGGTTCATCAAACTACAATCAGCCAACATATTGCTTTTATCTGCAGGTGGTGATGGTCGTTTTGAGGTAGACAGGAAGAGCGGCCAGGTCCGAACCACAGGCCTCCCGCTGCAGCGAGATAGGGAGTACCTGCTGACAGTGGTGGCTGCTGATCGGCTGGGCAGCCGCAGCGCCCCCGCCGTGGTCTCCGTGGTGGCGGGGGCCCGACCGCCACAGTTCACTAACGCTTCCTTCACCATCGCCATACCAGAAAACACCCCTGAAGGACAGCCGTGAGTTTACACACACAAACAGAAAAAAAAAGAAAGCCTGGTCCCAGGCAGAATTTCTCCACTAGACATCCACCTGAAGTGGTTTATACACTGCACACACACACTCACACACATCTGTGCACAAATACATTTCTCTCAGGTATTGTCCTTCTGCCACAGACATGACTGATCTCCCCTCACTTTGCTTACGTGTTTGGAAAAGATGAATTCATAATCCATATTTGATGTGCACACATAATATGTCTGTCTTTCTCTGGGTAACACATCTTCATGTTTGGCTGCTTAATACAGTGGATTTCAATACTATAAGCATGACGCAGTTAGCCTTGTGTATTATTATATGTAGCACATGAGTAAACGCACTGCTGTCTGGTATTGACTTACACACACACTTGCACAGTGTTTCATTGTAAAGGTTGAATCAGGGATGCAGCAGCGGGTGTAATGAACAGGCTCTACACTCTTCATATGAGATCATTGTACATTACTGTGATATGTGTTTAAAGATTCATGTCACATGCCTACACGGCTTCATACATTATACTGCGTAGGCCTGTGTATCCTTACACATGCACTCAAACAAACACACACACACACACTGAGGTCTGAGTACAGTGGTGCGGTTATGACTAGTGTCCTTGAATTGGTCTCATTATCCCCCTCCAGCTTGCTTCCTCGGTGTGACTGACACATTTGGCAAACCAGTAAAGTGGATATTCCAGTCTGTTGTTTACACTGATTTCATCATGGAAATTGTGTAAGGGTTGGATAGCGCGTCCAATAAATAACAGGCACCGACTCTGCTCAGCGTTTTATGGCTCTAAGGCCCCTAAACCCTTAGTATACTCAGTACTACTCTGTCGGACACTGGACAGAAACACTTGACACAACTTCACTTTGAGGTGCTCCACACAGGTCTGAGATTTTTTTTGGTTATATTGTTTCTTTATTTTCATGTGCTTGTTTGTTTTTCAAAAGTATTAATTCCAATTAAAGGTAGGGAAAATAGTTATTGCATTTTTTCTTTTTTGGGTGTGTGCAGTGGTTTGTAATGTAATGCACAACAGGAGAACACAGTTAGCTACAATGAACATCAGACTGATTATTTTGAAGACCTTGCATAAATTTGCCATGGCATAATGCAGTAATTGGAGTGGAAACATGTTTTTCATATCATGATAAAGAGCGAGTGCGGGGTTTTATGTAGCCCTCTTTTCACCTTTTTCTGTGCTCAATTCTTTTTACTCTGCTCTATAGATATATAACACATGGCACCTCTTCATACGTTTCTTTTTATGCTTTTTTTATTTATTATAATTTATTTCTGCATTTATTTCTACACACATTGAATGACCTCTATTCAGGATAATGTGCTGTTCTTTTAAATTTGCCTTAACCTATATCGCTATATAGATATGTTTGTACATACCTCAGTCTGTCCTTCTTTACTCCAGCCCATGTAGCTATACTCAAATCTATTCTAACCAAAGCTTATTGGCTCCACACAACTGTATAAAAGTACTCATCTTTCTTCTCTGAGTCTACTTCATTCTAATCTACATCTATTTGGCACATACTGGAGTACACATGGAGTACACGCATTTCCACTACAGTAGCTTAACCTTTAACTTAACCTGTCGCCAGTGTCAGTCAACACTCAGTAGGTGGTACAGAACCCCATGTTCAGGTAGGCCTACTCTCAGGGCCATGCAAGGCAATAGCTTGGCAATACTGCTATTGATAATACAGGATGATGTGTTTAGCGCAACACTATTTACACAAGTTAGTTTCTAAATACAGAGAATCTGATTCAGAATATTCAGTGCTTGTGTTTCGCTGCCTTGTCATTTATTTTGTCTGTATAATCTGTTTGCACAGTGTTTGGCAGTACTCTACTAGTTTAACAACATTTGTGTAGTGTAGTGATCCTCAAAGCCCAGCTTTTTTTCTCATTTAAAAGTCATTATGTGCAAACGTGAACGATATCCATATTATTCCCCCCGTGCCTGACAGGTTCTTCAGTTCAGGTTATGGTTAACTTCCCTTTGTGATAAAGCCTTTCTGCTGTACATAATTCTTCTCTACACAACATGCAAACATGTTAAGAAGACATCTATTTAACCCTGAATACATATACTATACTTCACCAAACTCTACTGCACAGTCAGTCAATGGTCGACTTTCCCTCCATGCCTCTCCAGCTTCCTGGTCACACCTGCCGTGTCCTTCCAGAAGAAACCAATCAGCTACAGCCTCCTCATCAATCCCAGCAGCCTCTTCTCCATCTCAGCGGAGACCGGCGAAATCAGCCTGACCCGCCCTATTGACTATGAGAGCGACCAGCATCGCTACTTGCTGCTGGTGCGAGCCAGCGAGGGCATGGAGAGCATGAGCAGCGCGGCAGAGGTGAGTGCGTGCATGATGTGAATTCCAAGTCACATTCCCACTGTCAAGTTTAACGAATGGATTGTCTTCAAAACTCAAAGATTTCTGACATTACAAGGTTGTCTCGATCTTACATCATACTACAAACATTATCTGACAGGTCCTCAACTTGACATGTCTTCTATACTTTGCGCTATTGTCACTTACTCCTGGGGCAGCGTTATTGACCCAGCACAGGGACAGTTGGCTGGAAGAAAGCTGCTGAACTGTGGTGAGCAGTGTTGATTATGTGCAGACAATAAAATAACCACACGCAGTCATAAAATCTCAGGCTACTCTGAAACATCCTTGAGCTGAACATGCACTGAGGCTGCTGAAGTGCTGGTAGATTTAATTTTATTGACTTACAGTTGCTGCATGGATGGTAATAGTTGTGGATGCTGCAGTTAAAATGATTGTCTGGTTTTAGCACCTCTTGATTGTCCTGTTTTTTTTTTTTGTTTTTTCTTTTTGTTGTTATCGGATTGCCTCACTCTGAATTGATTGAATGAGAGCCATAAAATTCTCAACCTAAAGGACCACTGTCTTTCATTTTAGTCTAAAAGCATGAGCATTGTCTTCAGTCAAACCCAAATAGACTTGTCTGTCTGGAATGACTGCTCTGGGATTCCCAATGACTTCCTCATGTTGTCAGGAAGTGAGAGAGAACAGCGGCTGACCGCTGCAGGCATCGAAGCATCTGGTCTGGTTTCCATCATTACTCTGGCCTCGGGCTAAAACATGTCCTGCTGAACCAATCTGTCCTCGACTGCTCTGCTTTGGGCCTCTGTGGACTGCAGAGCACCAGGAGCTTGTATGGAGACAGAGAGGGAGAAAGAGAAAAGTCGGGAAACTTGAGGAGGTGTGCTCAATTCAACAGTGAGATGAAAATGATGGATGGAAAGAATGAAAAAAGAAAGAAAGAAAGGAATTGGCTTGGAATTGGTACGTGCCCTTGTCTGCTCGCACGCCTACCCTGGGTAGCCAGCCTGCTCAGCACCTATGCCTGCTCTCTGGAGCCAGAGTAAGCTTTTTGAACTTCCACATGTTGTCCCATCAGTAAAGCCAGCACCTTTTAGACTGCAACCCCTGGCCCCTCATTCTCTCTGTCTGGGCAGTTTAACCGTAGACTGTAAATAAAGATGGATGTAGCCTCCATGACATCACCAGTAGGTTTCTGAAGAGGGGGCTTGAAGCTCAGAGTGAGCTGCTCAGACGTCGCCATCTTGGCAGTGCGTGATTCCGCCCAACTCTTGGATATTCCAAAAATGGACAAAGATGTGACGCGTGTGTGGAACGGAGATTTCAGTTCATGCTGGTGTAATAATTGTGGTAAGCATGCACGCCTGTTGGCATTGTTAGTACAGGAACTGTAGTTTTTGGCACTACTGTTTTCAGCCCCGGAGGTTGCTGCTTGAGTTTAACACCATCAGATAGAAGCTACGTTGTGCGTGTGTGAACACTGAATGTACTGATTGTGATGCACCCATATATGATTTTAATTTTTATTCTTAGGCAGTAATTGAAAGAAATTGTTTTGCATTACAAGTTAGTGAAGTTTATACTACTCTGAATTCAAACGTTTTTCCGTGAACATGCTGTAAGTGATCTTAATCAGTGAAAGAACTTACTGAGTGTTTAGTGCTCAGTAGGCTAATCTTGTTGACAGAATAAGCCTTTAACAAATGCTCTGTGCCTTAATGCACCAATTCTTGCTTTTTGCTGCCTCCTGAACAGAATTACAGTCATTACATCACACTGGAACAGTTGAGGGGATAATGGAGGGCTGAATGACCGCAACAAGGCCTAAGTGGTGTATTGATGTAGTGTATGGTGGTGGTAAGGCATGATCCTGTTAAAATATTCATAATATTTACATCCATGTTGTTTTACTAAAAATAATATACATAGTATCTTTTCAAGTGTTCACCCGAATCATAGATAATAGTGCTTTGGCTCCAGTGCTCCATTTCAGCACACACACGTGAGTACATATAATAACCTTTGGGCTGATGGTTTTAGTTACATAAAATCATTTTAAAAATGTAAAAGTACATAAAATCTAGGTAGACACACTCCTTACTAGATGGGGCGTGTGGGTGTAACTGATATGAGTGACAGGCTCCAGAGAAACATGCTGTTATCACTGAATGTGCTATATTAAATATTGAAATATACTGTAGAAGATTATTGATATAAGGACAAAAAATGTATGAGACAGCAAAGTAGCAGGTTAATGCCCCACCACAAGCCCCTTAATGTATTCTATACGTTGAAGGTTAATAAAAGAAAACTGCATGCTCATAACTGCAAGACTAGACTTCCTGAATTTTAGAAAACACTTCTCCTCTGGATAAAATACACATTGCTGCTGTCAGTCACTTTTGGAGTATCTGGATGAGATGCCACAATATCTTCTGCTGGTGCATTCATATCAATAGATGGTTCATTAAGAGATTGTTGCTGATTGTTGTGTTTTCTTTTTTTATAAACACAGATGGACAAATAAAAACCTAAAAACTATTTATGTTTTGAATGCAGAAATTTCCTTCGTCTGCATTCGAACTGAGGATGGTCGGGTTACAGTCATCTGGACTTACAGCACACCAATTAAGTGGTTATTTAACAAACTACAGTGATATGTAAACCATTTCTTTTTTCAAACTCTTCCCTGAGTTTTATTTCTCCATTTTTATTCAACAGACTAACTTGTCAGCTCTGACTTGGCTGTCCTTGGCATGTCCTCAGCTTCACTTGCCCAATTAGTGGCTGGTATTTACAGGTGCAGTACCTGTGCTGTATGCAGTAGCACATATGAATGTAAATATAACCCCCTAGTTAAAATTCCTATGAAGTGTAATTTCTCATGCCTGATATGACCTTTTTTGCGAATATACTGTATCAACGGAGCAAAAGCTCATGATGGCTAAACCCTGCTGCATTACTGTATAAACTATGAAGACACTTATTTCACTGAAGCTACCTCCTTGGTATTTAGGGCTTGATAAGATAAGGATCGATGAAGTGTGACTTAGATTCCCTGCTTTAAGTGTGAGCCATCCTGTTTCCAAAGACTACACAAAACACAACTACAAGAAATTCTTAGTTTAGATGGTGGTGGCTTTCTACCAACACGTTACTTGTTCCCTGCAGTGTCAGAGACATTGCTCAGGTCTGCTCTGGTCCTCTTTTCACTCACACAAAGGATACCTGTGCTCGCACTAGTTTCAATTCATTTAGATTAACAATGAGACAAAAACTAAATCAAAATATTTCAGGGATGAGAGTTATTATCACCAGTGTTGAGGAAGCTACTGTACTTTGAAAGCATAGCTTAGCAAGCTACCAGTTACTTTACACTGGAAGAAGCTGAAGTACAGCAAAGCTACCATAGGGAGAAATTTAGTTTGGTTAACTGAAGAAAAAGTAATTCGAACTTACTTTGTAAAAGAAAATATGTAATATGAAATTATAACAAAATACAATACAAAAAAAGTCACATTATGGCGAAGAGTGACACTCACTTGAGTTTCCTGTAAGTTCCCACTTGTTCACAGGTTATACATAAACCAAAAACATAAGATACGCCACTATTCATGGGAAAGTTCAAGGAATGTCAGCTTTGGTTTTTATTTTTTTTATACAATAACTTCTTCAGAATGGCCATGGTGATTCTTCCTCAGGCTGAGACTCAGGAGGTTTATCCGCAGTCACGTTGCCGTTGTGTGACCGTTGAGCATCTCAATTACAGCAGAGAAGTAATAGTAAAATAAAAAGTAAAAAAAAAATATTCCTTGCCTTTCATGGCCCAGAATTGTTTGTAGTTTCAGTTGTTAAATACAAAATGAATGGCAAAAAAAAGGAATTTTAACTAACTATCAGCCAGAATCACAATGCACTTATGAATGTAGCTGAACTACCAGCAAACTACTGCAAAATGTAGTTAAACTACTAGTTTGATTGCATGTAGTTCGCTACTCCCTAACACTCAACAGTGTCCACGGCCTCATTGAAAAGTTCCTCTTTGCATCCAGTTGCAGTTTGTCACTTTCAACATCTTCATCTCTACACTCACCCTCTGTCCCCTGGCATCCGTCCTTAGGCAGCATATATTATGTAAAACCCACCATCTTTAGGATGACAACCAACTGAAAACACTGAATGACAACCTGTGACCAAGCAGCAACCTCTGGGGCTGAAAAATGAAGCCAACATGGTTAAAAATTGCTGTTCCTCGAATGGCCACTTGAGGTTGGCTCCAATAGTGAGCCAGTTATTAATGGCGTGGCCTCTTTGAGTGACAGGTGGGCAAGCGTATGTTTGCCACAAACTAGCATGCACTGAAATCTCGGCTCCACACCTCTTTGCCCATTTTTGGATTAGCCAGGAATTAGGAGCGGAGTCCGGCACTCTGCCTGACTCCGACTCTGAGCTTCAAAACTGCTCATCAGAAACCTATGGTCTAGGCTACATCTATCTTCATTTACAGTCTATGCCTGTGACGCTGCCACAATGTACTTTTTCTTACAGCAAATGGGCTGTATGCATTTGATTTGATTTGAGAGATTGGAGACACTTGCTTGAAATGCTGTAATAGCGACTGACAGTTTCAAGTGCTTATTTTACCCAGAGGAATCTGTTTATCAAAGAATTTGTATCAGAATTGTTTTCCTTTTTCTAAACAGCCTATATTGATCCAGTGAGCCAGCACCTCATGATTTAAGGCGTTCTATTTTTCTTTTTTTTCCCGGTTTCTCTTATTAAAGTTTGGCATCGCATTAGTAGTGGGGAAATATTCCCCTGCTTTCATTTTGTGTAGCTTTCCCCTTTTTTTTCTTTTGCATTTGATTTTTATTCTGCTTCTCAGAAATCCGTCTCTGTCAAAACAGTGAGGAGAGGTGGTGTATTTGTGTGGACTGGAGCCACTGAGCATGACTTTAATTTGCAGGTAGTTTCCAAGTTTCTCCCTCCAGGAGTGATAGCTCATCGGCACCATTAGTTACCTAACCAGCCTGAGACCTGCCTGCAGCTGCCCCAAGTGTGTGTGTGTGTGTGTGTGTGTGCGCGCGCGCATGTCAGCGTGCGTGTGTTTAAGCTCATCTTGCTTTATTACGGCTGACTTCCCCTCTCTTCTCATTCAATGTCGCTTTTCCTCTGCCTTGTACACACACACACACACACACACACACACACACACTCACACACACACACTGTAAGTTCATATATCTTGCGGAAACCCTCGCCATTTCTTGTCATACTGGCACATAAGCTCACTCACACACTCACACACACATACAAGCAAACAAAGATTGACAGTCACTGGCAAACACACACAAATCACCTCAGGGAGTTGACATGGTCAGATTTTATTTTGTTGTCCGTTGCTTTGAAGCTGATCTTTGCTGAAGGATTAACTGATATTACAGAATTTCATCTTACCTACCAGGACTTAATACCAGTGGTATTTACACACATCTCACTATGTTTGTGTGTGTGTGTGTGTGTGTGTGTGTGTATCAGAGAGTGATCTGTAGTGTTTGTGTATATACCACTGTTTTTTCGGAATTGAAGACATGGGTCTGGGGTCAGATGGGCTCGCCTGGCAGCCCCTGTCTGTATTTATTCCTCCTGAATGCTGCAATCAGGCAGTCAACATCTGGTAGAAGATGCTGTGTTTCCCCCTCATGTCCCTAATGAACCGAACAGCATTACAGTGTCTCACGCACGTACGCACCTACATGCTCGCACCATACAAATTCATCTTTGCACGCTGATCCACTCTCATTTGTTAGCTCAGGGCTTCTGAGAACTGCACAAGATTGCATTCTCCACTGACCCACTGTAGGGACCACAGCGCAGACTCTGCAGCAACTCCCTCACTGAGGAGGGGTAAATAAACCGAAGGGGGATCAGGGTCAGGGCGTGCCTTTGGAGGAGGCTGAGATGAGGCTTCCTTTTGGTAAGGGATAGGGTTAATTTGGGTTACTAGCAGATGAAAACGACTCCAGACCCAAAGAAAACCAATTCCGGATGGTGCCTGAAGTAGTAATCCCAGATTTAAAAATTTTCATAACACCAAGCCAGTGTGACTTTTAATCTCCAGAATTTCCTCTTTTGATTGCCTGGCCAGTTTTAGCACATGCATTTAACGGAACAGCATCACGGAAACATGATCAGCAATACAAAAAACTCTACAGTCGGTTTTATTCTTTTATCATTTTTATTTAGCTTATCTGTTTAGTAAAATGCTGTGGATGTATGTTGACATAAATTCACATTTTTCCAATGCACTTTCACACAGGAATATTGTAAAATGACGAGCTGAATTATACATGGATGGAACGGTGACTCCATGTCGACCGGTGTCAGCCCCCCCCCCCGCGCGCTTCCTACATGTGTCTTTCTGTCTTTCAATCTCTGCTCTCTCTCTTCCTCAACTCTCTCTCTCAGGTTCGAGTTGTTATCGTCGATGAAAACGACTGCGTCCCAGAGTTCCTCCAGTCCATTTACAGCAAGGACGGCGTGCCGGAGACTGTGACGACAGCGACCTCCCTGCTGCAAGGTGAGACATCCACATCCACAGTATCTCAAAAGACTCACTTTGTGTCCTATCTACAACTCTGCATCACGGTAGCCTCATCAAAAGCGGCCAGTAAGATTTCAGGGAGTGCCAAGATCACCCTCTTCAGACAGAGCTTGAACTGTTACCCTCAGGTCGTCGGTTTAGGTTTTCCCATCAAGAGATACAAGTTTCCTTTTCTTTCCGCTGCTATTCAGTTTTTTAAATGGCAGATAGTATTTTATTGTTGTCTAGAGATCGTTTATTTGCACAGACTGCCTGCTTGACTTTACACAACACTGTCTGTTGATGTCTTTGTGTGTGTGTTTTTTGTATAGCCTGGCTGCAAATCATTGTCCCTGTAAGCGACAATAAAGGTACTTTGAACTCTGAATAGTCATCTGAAAGAAGCGCTACAGCGGCGGAAAGATACAAATCACAACTTGCAGCCAAGACTTCATAATAAAATCAGAAACAGGATGTAGATTGTGGATTCAGATCGTGGATTGCGATTCTACCCAAGCGGATTGTCATATGATCTTTTGGCTGAATCGCCCACCCCTACGTGCAAGGGGAAGTGAAGATGCACTTTGCTGTTTTCTTTAGCTTTCGTGTTCTCAAACATGAATAGACTTAAGGACGTCGCTTTTGCGTTATTTTACAATGTAAAAAATTCTCATGCAATGTTGAAAATGTTACAGTGGCCTGTTTAAGATTATGTCTTGAAAACACACACGTGAAAAAGACAATACAGAACACATCAATCATAATGTTAATGGGGGCGGGGGGTGCAACACATATTTTACCTTGAGTCCCTGAAAGTAAATCTAAAAACCAGGTGCAGCTCGCTGGGCTAATGTGTGCCTGTGTGGTGTCTGTGATATGTAAATGTTGGAGAAGCCCCACTGCAGAGGCTATACGAACAAAGTAAGAGCGGCCTAACTTTTTTAACATTCATGTGTTTTGTCTGGTCAGGAAACTGAGTGGGTACTTGTCAGCACTGGCAGCTGTGAGATTATCAGCACTTCCATCAGTGTAGCTGCTCTGGCCTCTCCTTCCCTGTAACGACCCAGTTTCCACACACGGATCTTAAGTTTCATTAAGCTTCAGAGGAAATAGTAATGGTAACCGGTGTGGGTACGACTTATCACTATTTGATCTGTCAGAGTGAGACTGAGGAGCCCAGTCTTTTTTAAGGCTCTGACAGACTAAAGCAAAACTGATAGCAAAGCATTTCACACTGCTCAGTCCCTGTGTGCACTCTGCATAAACTCTGGAGCCACATTCTTGAATTTTAAATTAATGTGATTGATTGATTAGATGTCTTAAAAAGTGTAATTACTGGTGCAAATTGCATGACTAATAAAACAATATCTCCACTGTAAAAGCACCTCGGGATCACGCTATTTACAGATCAAAACACAGTAATGCTCAAAGTTTAATAAACAGGTTTATTTATTGTAGGCTAAAAATGGAACAACACTGCAAATGAATATTGACAAGAACAAAATGCAGGGAAATAAAGCACCACATGCAGTATGTAAATTATTGATGACTGCAGTCATGACACCTCACGGGAAGTGTTCATTAGCTTATAGGCTGCGGGCAGAAAAGTTTGGGTTGGATTCAAGTTACAAAGCTTTGTTGTTTTTGTGCTGTGTTATTGCTCATATGTGTTGTGATCAACACATTATCGCCACTATTAAAATAGGCTGTTGCAATGGGGAAAAATTTGTAACTTACACACAGTTTACAATTTACACATACATGTATGGTGTCACACTAATGCCGGCCCAACATCAAACGACCTTTCAAGCAATTTCACTGTCTTTCATTCGTCTTGATGTTAAATCAAACATCTTTAATCTCATCGTAAGTTTTTAGTCTTGGCTCATACAAAAGTGACGTTCAATGACGTTCAAACACTGTCAACTTCTCCAGCACCAAACAGGAAACAGCAAACTGAGCTGATAGTGAGCATGGAGGCGGAACAGTGTGACTTGTTTGGTGTAAGACCAGCATTAAATACATAAGGGAGGTGAGGGTAACTGGGATCATTTCAAAATAAAACAGGAAGTCATGAGCTCAAAGTCCAAAGAGACATTTCAGGTACACATCATTACAATTATAGTGTTGAGTTACTAACTTCATGTAATAATAATAATAACAATAATAATAATGTAGAATTTTAAAGAGTAAAAAGGTCTGGAAAAAATAGTTTTTCTTCATGTAAATTTCCACCAGGAGCATGATGGGAAATAATCTCAAAGGAATCTAGTCTTGCAAATAGTGACCCTGCAAGATCTCCAGTCTTTACAAGATCTTATAGATAGAGACTAAAAACTCTGTGACTTATGACACACTGTCTTTAGATGTGAGATGGTGTCAGACTTCAAGTCTTTTGAAAGTCTTGTAGTGTATGGTAGGCATTAGTTGAGTAAAACTGAACACAAGGTTGCTCAAATCTAAAGAAATATCTGTAACACAAGTTTCAATCAATCTTGTTGAAACATGAACTGTATTTTGATCTAAATAGATTTTTTTTTTATCTCATCTAAAACACAGAGGTAGCAAACACTTTTTTACAGCGGGCCATACTGACAGAACTCATCATTAGCAGAGCGGTAATAAACTGACATGAAATGCTTAAGTAACAAGACACACGGATCAACCCATTAATTTTTGTTGCTCTTTAATTAAAGAAGTGAGTTGCTTAGTATTATTTCCTCTCTGGTTGCTGCCAAGTGGGAATTTGTCATTGATTTGTCGTTGCTAGTGTGTGTAGTTTTAAGATGTCATTCCAAACTGCACCAAGCGAGCACAGAGCGTCCTCTGGCATAGTAAACGTCTGAATTCATTTCCACAGTTTTTTTAATTTGTTTTTGTTCCGAAACTTTTTGTGTTCATGTTCTATGGCACAAATTTTCAAGACAGACAAAAATTGCAAACACTTGCTGGACATAGAAATAGGTGCGTGTTTTATCTATTTATTCGTTTGCCCTGTTGTCTCCCTTGTCTTTCTCTCTAGCCATGATTGTGACTTGTGATCTCATGAAAGGTGCAGTTTCCCAAAGTGGTGGCTTGATTTTCTAGAAATGTGAGAGAAAATTATAAATAAATTGGCCAAATATAAATAAAATATCAGACTCTGATTTGCATACATATATTGTACTTTAAATACCAAGTGCTTTAACAAGGCCACACACAGCAGATCAGCACACAGTATGGAAAAGAGATATGTTGATAATGATGTTTTTTTTTCCTTCGTTTTTTACTCAGTCGTTCCTCATGGGAATGCTTTTGCCAATATTGTACTTGAAAGAGAGAGAGGAGATGAGTGTTTTGTGGTCGACCATGTCACAATACTCTACAGTACTGTACTATGCGAAAAAGACACGTCATATATTAATTTAGTACTGGAAAAAAAAATCTGTGCCAACTAGAGCAATTAGCAGAGAGCACTCAAAACAAGCACACAGTGAAAAGCTATGGGGCACAACATGATGAATACTACATCAAGAGAGGGTTGTGCACAGTAAATCCATTCAGGACAAACACAGAAACAACGATTTTCAGCCCAGTATAAGAGAAATACAACCAAACAAAGCAAACAGATCGACAGTAGAATTTGGTTTATCTGATCCAGTGCAACATTGAATATATAGAGATATAAAAGACCTGAGAAAAATAATCATCATGTTACTGGTAATTACAATATTATTAAATGCTCTAAACACATTTACCTGTTAAGGATGACTTGTTCAGTTCAGTACACACACTATGACACCGGTCACTGGGCCACTGGGGAAACATGCAGAGGCTCTACTGAATGTGCTGTCACTGTTAAAGATGTACAGAAACAGGTGAACGCCTGAAGAGTAAAAACATTTTGCCTGAGTTTGTGTATGCACACACCGTGCTGGCATACTAACGCAGGTGTCCGCGCTTGTTTCTGCGGGAAAGCGAACATGGGGAGCGATAGCAGACTGTGATACGAGAAGGTTACTGCAGATGCATAAAGATTAACCAACAGCTGTGGCTCTGAGGCTGTACTCAGACACAGTGGTGCTTTGAGCTACATGAATGTCAGCATGCTAATATGCTCACAATGACAGTGGTGGTGTTTTTTTTGTTGTCGTAAATGACAAAAGATTGTTTGACTCTGTGTGTGTTTGCTAAATCATCAACTGGAACACCAAAACTAAATAAAAGTGCTGGTAAATCCCAGTGAGTGAATGAGAGAGTTAGCGAATGAGGGAGGAAGTAAATGAGTGAATGAGGGAGTGAGGTGTGTGATGAAGGCGGCGCAGCAGGTGCTCAGCTTGCCGCCATCAACAGGTGCACCAAGGGAGGCGAGAAGTTTCCCCCCGCTGCGCTGCTGCGTGTGTGTGTGTGTGTGTGCGAGCCCACCCATGTGCTCGTACTGTTTGAGTGGGGAGAGGGTTGTCCATACTGAGACTGAGTATCTTCACAGAAAAAAAAAAAAAACAGAAGTCATATTAAAATCTATTTGTGGAGCTCTTTTTGTGCAAACAGTATATGTATCTGAGAAACTTTCCAGTTTCCAGTTTTCAAATTTGAACATGGGAAATTCATTTTTAATTTTAGTGAGAGAAAAATAGCTCAAACAAAATGCCAAACTGCCAAAAACATGTCTGTTTTTCTCATTAAATTTCAGAAATTATCATCAAGACTTCTCCTGTGTTTTATTTGAAGCGCAGATTTGTAAGAAGATATTTTTGTGGTTTTAAGAACCAAACACCATCTCAATGTGTTTTACATCTCCTCCACATGGTGGTTTCCAGGTGGGCGGGGCTTGGGGTATGGCTGAGAGCGGTGACTGCTTTATTGTGACATCACAAAGTTACAGAAGTCCTGACAGCTCATTTTAAGGCTCAGTGTCTGAATACAGGCTGTGTGCATTTCTCTGTGGACTGAGCGCTTTGATACTTTCACAGTATTAATATAGAACCCAGAGCTGCTTTATAATCAAAGAAGACATGGATCTCTTTATACAGTATGGGACCTTAAATGCATGATACAGTAAATGCCGTTAATTCCACTGGATCCAGTTCTGAGAGCACCTAAAACTGAACAGCCCAACCTCCTGAAATAACGATGTTTTTTTCCCCCTCACTTGCACAGGTTAAAAGGAACAGTAATAAATTAAATGAGCAGGGAGAAATAGGTATCCAGCATCGTTTTGCTAAATCATGTGCTCGTAATCCTATAATCAGCTCTATCATGAGAGTGGACAAATGCGTACTTTGCCAAGCTGAAAAAAAAAAAAAAAAACTGCAGAGTACCAAGCAAGCCAATTATCTCGCTTTCCATAGAGATCTGAAGCCCCTGCAGCTTCCATCATCAGTACAAAATCATTATATGCTTGAAAGACATGGAAGATGCAGCCAGAAATACACCCCCCCCCCCCCCCCCCCCCCCCCCCCCCCCCCCCCCCCCCCCCCCCCCCCCCCCCCCCCCCCCCCAAAATGTGGTGATGCCAGCACCACAATGCTGATTCAAGATTACAGAGAGACCTACTGATAAATAAATGCTCAAACAGTGCTCTGAAGAGTACAAATCTGTACTTTGTAAATTAAATATTGACTCATATGTGGCATGTGTTTGACCACGGCACGGAATTGGAGTCCGGGCAGTCAGTAGTTCTGCAGCTCATTTTCTACCCATCGTCACTGGATGAGAGGCTGTTCATCACTTTACAGCAGTAAAACAGCTGCGTTTCAGCTGCAATTCAGAAAGATGTCAGTCCTTGTAAGCAGTGCACTGTAGTGCAGCGTAAACACACATAAATTCACTTTATCCAACTTGCAAGGCCGACATAATTCTAAATACCAGAAAATACAAACACCATAGTGAGTAATATAAAAAAAATGGAATTTGATGGAGTTTTTAATTGTTTATAACAGTTTGTTCCCTGCTAAAAAAGAAGGCAATATGACATAATACATACCGAGAGGTTTTGTTTTTGCAGCTGTAAACCAATGTTTATGGTATTTTAATGACTAAACATCCATCCTGTTTACAGTGTTGACAAGACATTAACATGTTTTTTTTTCTCATGTCCAGCTTATCTTCAAGCAGCCGAAAAAAATCTTTGTTCTTAATAACATATTTTTGTGAATGTACTTTCACCCTCAAGCTAACATCTACTCTACTCACTTTTTTTTGCCATTCAAGCATTTTTTTCTTTTCTGATTTTTAAGCAGATTTTAACACAGATTTGTTGTAAGTCAGCCAGTGAGGTGTGAGATAGATAGCAGGTAACCATTTTTGTCAAGGAACGGGTATGCAGGAATATGAACTTGAGCAATTCTGTAATGTGAGGAGGCTGCACACCGGCCAGGCTATGGAGTGATGGTTTATACCAGAAGATGCCAGCAGTGTTGATGTGCGTAGCTTTCTGTGACTCTGGGTGCTGCTCACTGAGGTGCGCTGCGGTTACATTGATTGTTTTTAGTTTTGGTCCATTTCACATTCACTCTGGCTTTTTACAAATGAGCCAAGAGCTGTTAGCATGAAGTCATATAGACTAATAGGTAACTCATTCTTTGACAGTTTTGTGGACCTTCATTTCTTTATACCAGCCCAAATGTACGGTGGTCCTCAGAGCTCAACGCACTGCAACTTAAGAAAACATGCAAATATACAAAACACAACTCAGTGCATCCCAGGCAGGTTCATCACTTTTATGTGTCCCCTTGAAACAGTTCCGTTGTTGTCTGTGCTACTTGCTGCACGTTTCTGAATTTGCTTGTGTTTTGTCTATCTGCACGTTTCTTAAGTTGCGGTGCGTTGATCTCTCAGGCCACTGTACAAACGGACTTAACCAAATGGGCAAAGGCACCGGTGGCCAAAACAGTTCATATGTTAAATGTGACAGCATCCTCATGTTTTGATTCTTCCTACAAATAACAATGGGATGCTCTTTTCTGTTTGAGTTCAACTTTGTGATTCACTAAGAAGACATATTTTACATTTGAAATGTGGGACTTTGTGGAACGATTAAGAAGAAGATTTTTGAAAATGTAATTCATTTTAGTTGGGTTGAAAGAGTGAACTCCACAGTCCACAAACATTTTAAACATCTTAAACTGTTCACACAACGAGTTAATGAATTATATTCTAAAATAAAATTGGACTCTAAATCTTCCTTTAATGAACTGGGATATTTTTGTTTTGCTGACATTTTGTTAAAACTACTAATTTGAAGTGTGTTAGTTTCCCCAAAGGCCTCATGGCAATAACGAAGTACAGTTCGTTAGCTGAAACAAACACTGATGTGTTTATGTGTGTACGTGCCAGTGCATGTATTGATTCATATGCATGTGTGTTTGTGTGTGTATCTGTGTGTGTGTGTGTGTGTGTGTTTGTGTGTGTGTGTGTGTGTGTGTGTATATATATGGGCACATGAGCCAAATGCAATGTAAGGTGAATTGGAGAATTGAGAGTTTGATGGTGAAATGTTCTTGTTAGCAGAAAATATGCTTATTCAAATCCCCGGTGGTCTTTACTGTTTTAGCAAGGCAATCAATTTGTGGCTGAGCGAGTACTGGCTCCATGGATTCCCAATGTGTGATGTAGAAACAGAAATGTTGCAAAATGACAGTCCCTTCAATGCACGCTGTGCAAATAACACCCACCCCCCCTTGTAGGTGTATAAAACCGAACACTTAAGCCGCAGGAGCATCACTTTCTTTTCAGTCTCCACTTTGGTGACTTAGAATGAAAAGTGAATACTTATCCTGAGCGCAAGTTGAGCACTTCTGATCAAATACAAGAAACAAGAACAAAACTTGACTCTACATTAATAAGAGAATAGATTGTACTTTTCTTGTCTGATTCCACTGTTGAGCCACTATTTTCTCTTTCACAATGACTTAAATCAGGGAGCTGTACCGGCATTAAAAGTACATTGGGTTTTTTTTCTGATAATGCCCGATGTCATTTCATTTTTCTGAAGAAGGTGAACAATAGAGCGTAGTAATGCAGTATTCTTTGAGTGTGAGTGCTTTTACAGGATAATTCAATGAATGCACAACACTTGACCGTAGACATTAGACCTTGCCTCCTTTCATTGCTCATTGTGTTTTTGGGGAAGTTGGCACAGGTATACAAGCTGCTGTGGTATTTCACTTGTAAACTTGTGCTATAATGCTGCACTGTGTGTTTATTATTTACCTGCTTTCGTACATTTATAATTGAGAAATCTGTTTCGGAGATCCAGTAGATCCTGCTACTTGTTAAAATGGTCACTGATTTGCTGCTCCAACAACAAACCTCAACTTTGAAAAAAAACTGTCATTTTGACTTTAATTCATTCTGATTAAAGTCTTATGCTCTATTGCAAACATTCCTTACAATTTCATATATTTCTGAGTGCACTTGTAATGTACTGAAGTTTCCCGTCTGATTACACTACAAGAAATAAGTCATTGCACATTTGTTGGTTGATAAAGTTTGCTAAGTATGGCTTGGGCTTAACACGACACTTTTGACCTCCATCCTGTGGAGGCTGGACCAAAGTGTGAACATTAATGGTATTTTTAGTGTTTTGGGACTGAATAATACCCGTGCTCATGTCAACCACATTCCATCAGTTGACCATGATCCATTAAAACATCCATGCTTTCACAGTGGATGTTACTGTGTACTACAAACTCCATGGGTAAAGGGAAATATCGCCATCTATGGGGGCCCAGTGTTGCGTTTGCTCAGTGCCTCTAACTTCTTTCTTTCTCTTTACTATTTCTATGTTCTCATCTTCAGTGTCGGCCAACGACTGTGACTCAGAGGAGAATGCAGAGTTGACCTACTACACGCTGAGTCAGGACTTCACCATTTCCCCTCATGGGACCATTTTCCCTGCAAGGCCTCTGGACTACGAGAGGCCCAACCACCTGTACGAGTTTGTTGTGATGGCCATCGACAAGGGGGAGGTCCCTCGCACCGGGACGACTACAGTACGGATTCGGATGGCTAATGTCAACGATGAGGCGCCTGAGTTCTCCCAACATATGTAAGTAAGAGTCAGGCTTCTAAACTCCTGATTCTCATGCAGGTGTTCATTGTTGTGACGGGATGCTGTGGCACTCGCAGTTAGTTTTTACCGTAAAAGCAGCTATAGGCTCTTCTTACCCTATGTCTGATTCCTCCCTGCTGGTTAAGATAAGACTGGAGAGGCTGATGGTCATGGCCCCTCGACTCTTTCTCTGTAGTGGAAAGCTCTGTTGAGACAAACAATATGGGTCATCCTCTCAAGGTTAAGATCTTCTGAGTGCCAGGATGATCCAAATAGGTTAGTCTGCAGACAATCCAGGTGCTCGTATATCATTCCCAGCTTTGAGCTGCTGCAAAGAGTTGGGTTTTCATTGTAGTCTGAGGAGCTGCTCAGCTTTTTAGGCTGTTTTGATGATTGAAATGATTAGTTGATGAATCAAGTGGTCGATGCAAACGTTCCCACACAAATACATTCATGGCTTCAGCCTCTCAGATGAGTTTCATGAGATGAATTTTCTATGTTTTATGTAACTGTAAATTGAATATCGTTGGGTTTTGAAATGTTTGTCAGACAATTTATCAATTTCCCAGAGGTGAACTGGCATTTCATACACTAAATGGTTTTTCAATTAATTCAAAAAAAGCAGAAGAAGAATATTTAGATGCAGGACTTCTTCAGTTTAATCTAATGTCTGCTAGAATTATTTGCTCCCCATATATATATATATATATATAGAGTATATGTATATATATATGCATGTCTGTGGTCCTCTACCCAGGTGCAGTTTAAATAAACAGTGTGACTCTACACTTAACAGGACAATGGAAGTCTATTGGACAATTTTAAACATGTGCTTGTGCGTTTTTCTCTGTAGTGAAGCCATCCCACATAAAATCACAGAGTGTGCTTAACAATTACAATTATAAGAAAAACATACAAAATACATAAAAAACATGAAATACGCACAACCAAAGCTATTTTATTTAGAATCTAGAGAGAGAAGACTCGGCTGTCCTGTCTTGTCAGGTCAGCTTCTCACAGCTGCTTCCCAATTCAACATCGCAGCTGCCGTTACCCACAATTCCAGCATTTTTTTCCCCCCAGTGCCGCTGTGGCGCCTGCATCTTTTAATTGGTTGATTTTCTGGCAGAGAGCTGGGCAGATTGGTGAGGCAGGGTCAATCAGCCATGCCCACCAGCACCCTCAGGAGGCCCTGAGCGCACACGCTGTGTGTGTGTGTGTGTGTGTGTGTGTGTGTGTGTGTGTGTGTGTGTGTGTGTGTGTGTGTGTGTGTGTATGTGTGTGTGTGTGTATGCAGTAATTGAGAAGGTCCCAGCAAAGTGGGGGTGTTGTATGGACAGAGTGATGTAGTTATAAAGTGCATTCATGCATCATGCATCTGATATGCATGTGTTTATGTTGTTTATAGCAGGAGGGGATTAGTGTGTGTGTGTGTGTGTGTGTGTGTGTGTGTGTGTGTGTGTGTGTGTGTGTGTGTGTGTGTGTGTGTGTGTGTGTGTGTGTGTGTGTGTGTGTGTTTGATTACATTGATTTACTGTCAGCGACAGCCGAATAATCAGTTGGCTTTTCTTCTGTAGCCCTCAATCCTTTACTGTAGCTGCCACACAAACAGAAGTGGACAATCTATGATGCATCACTCACACACACAGACACACACACACACACACACACACACACACACACACACACACACACACACACACACATATCCATGTGCACACACATGCATCCAGATTCATTCATGCAGAGACACATATGTGTATACTTGTGCAAATGCATTTATATGCGCACACACACACAAGGGCGGGAATGAGTAAACACATCTGTTATGTCTTTGAGGAAACAAACTCAGCTGGGACAGTTTGGTAAAGATAAAAGTTACAACTATAAAATTCATTGCTTTCCCTGTAGATACCTCATGTTTGCCTGTGTGTATGGGAGAGAGAGACTGTGTACACATGTGTGTAGAGTCAATGCATGTGATGGACAGAGCGGAGAAGGGAGACAGGGAAAGGAGGTCGTTAAATATATCATTATCCAGGCAGAAAATTTGGCCTATTTGTATGGATTCTTGGAGTTTGAAACATGCGATAATGAGTATCCATGTGTATGAGTGTGTGTGTGTGTGTGTGTGTGTGTGTGTGTGTGTGTGTGTGTGGTTCATGATAAATGTAGGCTTCAGATCCAAAAATGATACTGAACAGTGTGAAGCTTGAAGTGAGTCTTGTTGCTACTATCAGTGCAAGAAAGAAAGAAAGAAAGGAGGAGAAAGAGAAAAGAACTTTTCTTTTTTTTCATATAGTTTTACATTCACTTACTCTCAGATCTACTTCCTCACTGCATGGCTCTCACTTCTTGGTGAGTTATTAGAAAGGCTGCCTTTCATCTATGTGCTGTCACTGTGCCATCAGGACCCTATTACTGTACCTACCATCACCTGCCTGTTTCCCTGGAAACCACCCTGCGAGCCTTTGCTGCACTTTTCTTGCATGTGCATTTATACACCTTCCACATATGTATGCATGTGTTCATGTCTTTATTTTCTGTGTATGAGCAATGACCTGAAACCTCCGTTGTACCATGAAGGTAATTTTTATGCCAATAATAAACATTTGAATTAATTGTTAACTGTTAATATATATTATAAGTGTTAAATATGCATAAGCATGCACTTATGCACATATACACAGAGTGATGCAACAGGTAGAAGTGATTGCAGGTGTGTGTTGAAGACAAAGCCAGAGGAGAGAGAGAAGTTACTATAGTGCATGTATGTAGTTTGCAGTAACAATGGTGGCGGATTTAGCACTTGAAATTAGTAATGATAATAAATTATAATATATTCTATTTATAGGTGCCTTTCAAGGCACCGAAGGACACCTTACAACACAAATTAAAAGATGATTTGGACGCCATCTTCATCTGATCCATATGAACATCAGAGCCCAACAAAAGGGTGTTAGATACGTATTTGATGGCTATAAACAAGATGTGATGAAAACACAGATCCATGTAATGATAGAAAACATATCTGAAGCTAAACTACATGTCCAGGTACAAAGTCGGCATCCTCACCAGTTGATGATCCATGTAGAAGACATGCAGATAAAGAAGCAGCAATGTTCTGCAGGATAGAGTGAGTTCACTGTGGAGTATTTTAAGAAAACAATGTAAAGTCATTCTGTCGTTTCTTTCTGACATAACCCCACTCAGATGTTTGCTATAGAAAGATAAAATTCTTTGGAGAAGCACCTCAAATGTTAGAGTCATGCTTTATTTTCAGTATTTTTAAATTTCACTTGTACATGAAAAAAGTTTTTTTTTATGAGGACAAATCAATGACTTTGGTAAGAGATCTTGGATAATTCAATACAGAGAAGAAGAGAGCTGCCAACCCTTTTCTAAAGTCTGATATTGTAGCATCCAGGGATCAGTGTTACACCAGCTTCCAATACAGTGGATGTGTCGGTCTTGAGCTACATAATTTAGGTAGCTAATATTTATCTCAGAAAGTAACGCACTGTAGGGAAAAGAGCTAAGTTAGACCACCATACTAACATCGGCAGCTCATGTTAGAGCAGATGAATACACTCTTTAACCTTTTGCTTAAATGTATGCTCTTGTATTTTCAGAAAGGCAAAAATAAAATAATTTTATACTTAATGTGACTCTCGCTGCAGCCCCACACACATGACTTCAACAGGCCTTGCGTGTCCGGTTACATTTACAGAGCTATGATTGGGCAGTCACTGTTTGAGGGAGAGGCTGAGCTCATAGTTTGTGAATGGGTGTGATTCAATACACACACTAATACACGTTTTAGCCCCAAAGTGTCATATGTTATTGTAGATTACAATACGAATGTCGGAAGGAAAGTCAAGGGCCACGTGATTGATATTTTTCCTTAGTGTGAAATGACTGATGATTAAAGTCGCTGATATAATCCCTGTTTATCTTTTTTTAAATGCATTTATTCATTTATTATCTCTGTCATGATATATTGATGTCTCTGTCTGAGGCCTTCGCTTTATAAATCCTGCTCAGGTTTCACCTTAGAGTTATTGTTCTGGGAGACATTTTCCTCCAAATCAGATTTGTGTTATACAACACTGTATTTCTCACCCTGTTTTTTTTTTTTTTTTCCTGCATCAGCTTAATAAGAACAATGACACAGTCTCCACAGAGTAACTCGGTCATGACTTCAAAGCAGTCCTTGTTTCTACTCGGTTCATCATGGAGACACAATAGATACAAGGTCTTTTGGCATTGTAAACCCACTCTCAGACTTTATTCTATCTTTTTACTTTTTCGTTGCTTATCCATGTTTTTGAGCCAGGTCCTGAACCCCAAATTCCTTGTGATGGTCATGCCAGCGCCGTGTATGGCAGCTTCAGTCTGTAAATGTTTGCACTCCATTTACTGTTTACCACAAAATATTTGCACTTTTGAAAAAATGTCCTTCAGACAAAGTCTATGTGAAGCAACTGAGAAAAAATATCATATAACAGCACTTGGTTTAGTGGTTCTTAACCACCAGACCAGCATCTTTCACTAACTTTAACCAAGTGCTGTGAGAGTCTAAACAGAACCATGAAAAGTGAAAAGTTAGATAATGCTGGAGTCACAAGTAGATATTCTACTGCAAGATCAAATATTTTGCAGTTACATTTCGTACAAACTGTATTTGCTGTTGCAGTTTAGTTCTACAGAAAGTTTATTTTCAGGGTTCTTGTACATGTCTGTACATGTGAAGATTCACAAAATGTGTCAAGGGAAGCTCTGAGAACCTCAGCTCTAAAGCCTATGTAACCTGTCTGTAATCATATCCTAGTTTCAGATACCTGAAAAAAGTCTGATCCGGGTTTAGAGAAAGCTTAATATTTTATCTGCAGAGCTCCTGTGGCTCCTGTTTCTGATCACTGTCTGCCACCTCTGCAGGTGCAAGTTACTTGGTATTTAGGCAGTTAAAAGCATATATGATAGCACCACATCAAGGA